GTAGCCCAGTTGAAATCTGAGGGCGAAGGCAGGACCTTAATCGCCGCCGGCGGCTACAAGTCCAAGGGATCCCTTGAGATTTACGGCCTCAGTTCGGCAGCGGGTGGCGGCGAGAAGTCCATTTTGCAGAATTCTGTTACAAAAAATCGACAGACTGTTGCGTCGTCCACCATCCTATCCGTGGCGAACCACGGCTCAAAGATTGTCTTTTCAGATGGATCAGGATTCATTAAGTGGTTTGAGCGAGACGGGTATACTGAGTGTCGACGAATGAGAATTGGCCATAGTGATGCGGAAGAAGCGTCCTCTTTGTTTGCTTCCATGGCTGGTTCAGACGACATGGCCCGCAAGATTGTATCAACAAAATCCAACCAAGGCAACGACCGGCCCAACAACGACAATATTTTGTTGTGGACTGGAGAAAAACTAGGTCTTGTGAGCTTCACAAAGTCCCCTATATTCGACGGAAAGGATTTCGAGCTTCAGGACCCCGAGATCAGTGTAGAAAACGAAAGGAGAAAAGAGTATACGCATAGAATGCGGCGCGCTCTGGAGCGACAGGCAGACGAGGTCAAGTTCATCGGAAGCCTGGGTGATCCGGCATATTGGACACGGTAAGATTGTTTGCATATGATGGAGTCTGGTGCAGTAAGAAGACCTTTGGGTAGTTGGGCGAGATTTGATACATTACATGGGCGTCGGTCAGCTTTCAATGCTTATTAGTGCAAGATCAGCGGTTCTATGAATATCTTTTGACAAATTTGTGGCCTGGTAAAATGAAATTGTGTGGCTTGTTATATGGTGGTACATCCAATGGGGATTAGGCTTTCCAAGCAAAATACGTGAAGCATCGGCGATATAGCGTCATGGATTTTGTCCAGATTCCAGACTTGGGTGGTTGCAGCAGGCAGTCCATGCAAAGATAAAAATGTCTCCATCGGAAGGTCAGTTCAGTTCCACATGACGCTGTACATATATCTCCTCCATTCTCGTCACAGCAGAACTGAAAACTCGGCCAGTAGTAGCTACAGTTTTATTTAAATGGCGGCCTTTCCCCCAGGCACCACAGCCCCTTTTCGGTGTAATGTAACTCAGGTTTTCGTCAGGGCCGACCCAGCTCCAGGGTAGTGGTCACAAACTAAACACGGCCACGCTATATCAAGATGATATATCAGTTGCAGGGCAGGACAAGCCCAATTGACGGGTAACAAGCAAGGATGTTCCCAAGTACAAATGACAAAATTCCGATTGCAATCCAATGCAGGACACCAGTGCATGATGCGCCTCTTATATGCGTGCCCAAGGCAAAAAATGGATTCGCTGTATCGAGGTGGGAATGATGTCAAGCTACCTGCCTGGTTGGGCGACGTAATCGCTCGCTGCCCAATGAAGCCTTGCCGTTTGCGAAGGCACATGTTACGGTACGGGTAAACTGGCTGGCCCCTATTTTCCGATTTGGGAGTCATGGAAAACATACCTGGGAAATTTGGTGCCGACTGAAGTCATTTGTGTGAGGCCGTTGGGTGTATTGTAAGAACAGGCATATAAAGGGCCTAAGGACTGCTCCTATTGAGTACATATCTGCTTGTCCGCCAACGACGGTAGGGATGTCTCTAGATATCAGAATGTAGAGGCGCAAAGTCGTATTATTGCCAAGGCGTGAGGCTGAGCCAGGTCGATCAGGGCGATCGAGGCGGTTTCGGTAACTGGAGCCCAATGTGCCGGTTTTTGTATTCTGACATGGCGGACTGTCTTTTGTTCGTGCTAATAGGCTGGGCCGTCATGAGCAGCCATGGTCGGGCATGAGAACATTTAATGATGCGTTGTCCGTTTCTCTGTTCAAAGATATACCAGTATGTTAGATTATGATGTTCGGCAGATAGACCAAGAAGGAAAACAGTCGACTGCAAGGAGAATTGCATCAGCTGCTGTACAATGTCGGCCTAGGAGACCCGACTGGACAAGACGACAAGCAACCAACACGAGTGCGCCAGATGGACTGCTGGATGCTCTGCTGTGGGGCTTGATGTTGATGCAGGGTGATGAGAGATGCAGCGGAGACTGTGATTTGACGTGCACAAGGACGCATGATGCAAATTTTGGCCATGTTAACAACGTCCGTAATATGGCAATGGGGAAACGCGCTCTTTGTGACGGCGGTTTGTTGCTGAGGATGGCGAGGAGGACGAATGCCAGCGTTGCATGATGACATATAGGATGCAAATCTCCAACTCAGTCCATTCAATCAATGCCTGGGACTTGTCGTGAGCTTCGTACCGTGGCTGACTCACTGTTTGCCAAGACAAATCCTTTGCAGTGGATCGCCGGCTCGTCATGCTGGGTTTGTTCTGGTGATGCTGGCTCCATGCAGGCAGCGACGACGCGACTCCAGCTCGTTCCGCTTGTGTTCATCTTCCTACCTAACGTCGTGTTTGGCTGGGCCTGGTGGACTTGAACCCGACCTTGGACCCAGCCCTGGCTGATCTGACGGCACCTAAAGGATGCAAGTGGTGAAAGGCTCTGTCCAATATGCCGTACAGACAGGGTCAAATGCGCATGCATCTCCACGCATCCACCCTTGGAGCCAAAGTTCTGCTAGAGTTCGCGTCGTGAGCGAGGGAGTGAGGAAAAGTGAGGAAAAGTGAGGACAAGTGAGGAACAAGTGAGGCACCAGAGACACCAAGGCGACTCCTAAGATGTAGGCGCGGAAGGTGCATCCAGGACAGACAGCATGGCCGGCCACGACGCTCGCTCTTGCCAAATGAGAAACATGCATTGAAGCAAAGTTGACCACCTGGACAGCTTGACCGGCTTGACTAATTTCGGAAGTGCCAACTGGCCCGGCTTCTTTCCTCCTTTCTCCTCCACTTTCTTTCTCGACCCGTTTTACCAGTTGACAACTTTTTTTATCATCATCGTGGCCCCAAATTCACTGTTGCTTGCCCGACCACATTCGCTCGGCGGCGCCCACTCGTCGAACTGTCAGGTTACACAGACCCTGATCCCGGTGGCCCTGTCTCAGTGGCTTGGTCCACCATCGTCACGGCTCAGCTCCGGCAGCCGGCCTGGTCTTTCTGCATCCTGGGCCCTCTCTGTTCCCTTGCTTTCCGGGTTGAGCTTACTCACCTTCATGTCCCATGTACACCGCTCAAAAGACAGCTATCGGCCGCCAACAACCCATATCTGAAATCATCTTCTATATTTATCATTGAAACGCCTCTCGCTCTTTTGGATATCTCCTCTAGTCTCTTGTCCTTTTACAACAAAATATTCTTGGCCGGATAATATTTGAAACTTGCCGAATAGCATGTCCTTTTGGGTGGTAGAAAGACATCACCGCAGCCCGCTTCTTGATGGATCATATATTGCTCCCAATGACGCCGATTGCCGAGATTTCAATATAAATGTAGGCACCCATGAAGAGCAACATCTCAGTATCCATGGCAGACTCGACAATCGTCAGTGGAATACGAGTGCTTCCTACGAAAGCGGCTATCAATATGCATTCAATGAGCAGGTAGCCCAGCCGGAGCCGTCCGTACCCGTACCGAAATTAGCATTTCTTGTGATTCACGAAGGTGATGACGGGCAAACATCAACTCCATCGCTCTCGCCATCGCCGAAACCACATGCTTTCGATGACGCTTGTAACGCTTTCCACAATCGAAGCGCCATTCCTGTCCCTTTAGAACGAACCGAGTCTGGTTTGTCTATATCATCTGATGCCTCGGCACACCATCACGACAACTCGGCAGAGCATGACCGATATGGACATTTGCTAGAAGATCTTGAAGCGGCAAGACTCGTCCGTCAACATATCTCAAACTACCGTCGCAGATTCCCAGACTCCCAACCGGAACGAATCTTGAAAGCTCTCATCAACCCCAAATCTCGAGGTGCAGAGTTCAGACTGGACAACGACGCTTTGCGGAGTATTTTTTCTGCATCCAACGAGCTTTTCTTTGCTAGCCGCCTTACACGCAGAGTTGCTTGGGACTGGAGCCACTCTACATCACAGCAGTACGATAATCACATAGTTGGGACCACGGCCCTTCGGCGAAGCGCGAGGCTTGGAGGATGGGAAACATTGATCGTACTTTCTTCACCTATACTCAGGGATAATCAATACAATCGGCGGCTACTCATCTCTACATTCCTGCACGAAATGATCCACAGCTTCATGTTTGTCACATGTGGACTCAAAGCCAAACAATATGGAGGTCACACGGATGGCTTCCGGGAGATTGCAGGTATTATTGATGATTGGGCCGGAAAAAATTGCCTTCACTTACGGGATATGGAGGCAGACTTATCTCGTTGGCGTGGTGATGACTTCTCTTCCGGAGACCATGCCTTTGGTTTTGACTACATCCACGATGCGGCGCACTTTGAACAAGCGGGTCGGAATAGTGAGCGTCAGTCGCACAAGTATGCAGACTATCTGCAGCCCCCGTACCCAAGAGGACGTGCGGTACAAGAGGAATGGAGTTGGAACACACAGGAAGGCTTTGGAGAAGGCTCACAGTATGTGGCCAATTTGCAGTATGTTCCTGGATAAGTCTATCGGAGGTAGTCTATCTGTTCTCTCCTTGACGCTCTTCCTGTGAGTGGTTCATTTTTGGGTGTATCTTCCTCCGTGGCGTCCAGCCCTGTATTTGGAAATTGGCATGAATGCGGAGTTTTGGGTTTTTGAATTGTGGTATTCACTTTGTACGGATCAGCATCGTTTAATTTGCAGCATTTCCAGCGATGTCAGTCACACAGGCTTTGAAAGCATCTTATGAATTCAACAAACTTTTTTTTACTGACGTTATGGGTCAGGGTATGCAAGTCTATCCAAATTACAAATTAATATGAACGCCGTATACACAAGTCTTGACATATTGATTCGTGCTGCATCGTCATCTCTGCCTCCGTGACATTGTCGCCTGCAATTTTTTTTTGAATATATTGAAACGAGTGCTTTTGGTAACAAGGTCAACGACCAAATATTTAACTACTTAGTCTTGGCATCCAATCTTTGCGGCCCCATAGGGTGCTCGTTTTTTAGAGTTTCCAAGCAAGGGTTCCGACTCGTGGGATTCGACGTCAGAGTCGTCAATCGCAGATTCATCTACAAGAATGCGGCTGCTAAGGGGAGTTTCATTCTCTTCGGTATCGCTGTTTTCAACAGATGCGGTCGGGCCGTTACCCTCTACAACCCAGAAGACGGGAATGGCTCCTAGAACAGCTATGACCGCCAGGAAGAAGTATGCTGTGACAACGTATCCATGCTTTGCACCCCAAGTGAAAGCCAGCCCAGTGCTGGCAGGGCCTAGAGCTCTGCCGAAGCCGCTGAACATGGTAACGAAGCCATTCAAAGTGCCCAAGATTCTCAGCGACTTGGCCGAATTAGTAAGCAGAATGGTGACAGAGGGGAAAGCAACGATGATCGAAAACGCCTTGAGCATCAGGACAAAGGCAAGGCCCATAAGTCGCGTTTCGGGGGTTGGGAATAAGGATGTATAGGGCGTGAGGATGTAGACCATTGGCATGATGACACCTACTGCTGTTAGTCTATTTGCCATGAGCCTGCAGATAAATGGGAGACCCTTTAACTTACAGCAGGCTTTGTAGCAGTTCAGAACACCCCATCGGGTGACCATGGGCGAAAAGAGGATAAACTGGACAAGACCACATGTAACCCCATATAACATGAAGATGGTCCCAATCCTCCCCGACTCCAGGCCAAAGCCGCCATTGAAGTAAAAGGGGAGTCGTGTATTTTCCGGAGTGTGCTCCTCTACAGGGTAGTTTAAAAAGACTGTGACATTTTGATCATAGGCGACAGAGTGAAAGGCAAGGAAGAAGTATGCCAGCATAATCAGAACGCTTTGCTGCGTGAAGATCTCTAGGGTTCCTGGGGTTGACGAGTCGTGTACTGTCTTGTGCCGAATTTGGTTGGGTATGAGAGGGGCGGTTGCCTCGCCATCTACAAAGGATCTGCGTCTCCTGTCCTGTTTCTTGTTCCACTTCAATGCTTGGCCAAGACGTTTGCCAAATAACAGTCCCCAGTCTCGCTCATCTCGTTTCGCAGCAAGTGTTTCCTGGGGGCGAGAAGGTTACCTGAAAAGAACATGGGCTTCGCAACTGACCAGCCGAGAACATACCTTGAGAAAAAGCGTCGCGCTAGTGACAGATATGAGGAAGAAGACGGTAGCAATCAAGTTGGGAAGAGCATATGGAAATTTCTCAAAGAACCACACACCCCCAAACACGGAAGGATACTGTTTGGCAGGGTCGGCAAAGAAGCCGCCAAATGCTGGACCGACAACTGAGCCCAATGACCAAACAAGGGGCATGATAGAAAATGCTCTTGGTTGGAGCTCTTTCTCGGGCACAAGTTCCGCCACCATGGTTCGAATAATTCCAACTGAAAAGGATTGTCAGCTACGCCAAACTTTGGATCACACGCAGTAGACCCGAATAGACGAACCATTTCCGTTACTTGCTCCCTGGATGGCACGCACGGTAATTGCCATGGGCAGGCTGGTCGACACTCCCCATACAACAAAGCAGGCCATGGTGCAAACCAAGCCAGTGATCAGACTTGGTTTCCTGCCCCATGAGTCTGCTATTTTGCCCCAAGGCACTGCAGCGAAACTCTGGAAGACTGAGAAAACGGCGGACGTTAGACCGGCCCATTTTGCGACTTCTGTTTCTTCAACGCCGAAATCGCGGACCATCTGAGGAAGATATGGATATATAGATGTTGTGGCGAGGGGTTCTGCAAATCTCGCAACAGCTATCAATGGCACCTGTTAGCAACGGAAAGGAGATGGGCTGAAAGAAAAGTGTTGCAGTTTGTGAGGTGCACCACCAGCCTGTCGAGCGTCCAAGCTGGTCTGCGGGAAGGTGCGTCGCTCGGTCCTTCCTTCTCAACATATGAAGCGAGGTAAAAGCGTGGTTTTCGACCTTACGCACAATCTACCTCGTCGTGCCTTACCTAGAATTGTCAACTGCTGCAATGGTAGCTTTGGCCTCGGTGGCGCGTGCGAGTCATCATCACTCATGTTCTTGGGTGCGAGGTGCTGGAAACCCAGGACAAGTGGCACCGCCCTTCTCGTGGCGTCGCGGCGCAGTGAGGAAGAGTCTGTTGGTATGGAACTGACGGCGAAACTCGGGAAATTGAATCTTGATTGCCCATCAGCTAGCAGACACCGTTACGCATAATACTAATTAGCGATGACAGCACGGTTTATACACACAGCTAGTCAAATGATGCAAGGAAGCTCGAGGTTAAGGACGAAAAATCGAGAATGAAGTTGCCAACTGACGGACGAATCACTATGGGCACGCTTAATAAACCCGACGAGGACAACCCATGTCGGCTAGATTGGGCCACGAACGGTGTCGGACCTGTCGCCTGTATCCGCACCAAGCCCAGGTCATTGAAGGGCCCGCGGCGCCAATTATAAACTTCGACCAGAGTGGCGGCGCAGGACCAGCACATCCGGTTGGGTGGGATGGGAACACGACCTCGGTCACCTGCACTTGCTGAGACGAGACTTGAATACAAAATGTATTATTATGGCTCTCGATGGACACAACTTATGATGGCCTATGGTGAAAGAAGAAAAAATACGCCCAATGGACAAAGGTCTTTTCTGGATATTGATTGCCCGGGGATTTGGAACTGTTAGGCCCCGGCAGGATATTTACTGACAGCTCGACGGGCAAAGAAAGTCTACTCCGCCCTCCGTCCTTGAGTACTTAAGTAGACGGTGGTATAGAAGAGGGCTAGCAGGTTTTTGCTTGGCTTGACTTCAAGTGTGTTTCGGGGTGTGTTTCTCGATGACTTGCACCTCAGCTACAACATGCGCCGAGGAACTTGACCAAGACTGGGCTCGGCAGTTTGTCAGCTGTGGCATTGGGACCCTGCGGTGATGAATAGTGACGGGCGGGGCTGATTCCGGCCGGCATCGGGGATGGCGGACTCGCGGCAATCAAGCCCGCATCGGGTGAGGAGCAACCGAGACGGGCAATCTCAAATGTGGCATTTCTCAGTGGAAGGGAGTGGGGATGTATTTGATGTTGTGCATGTTGATATGGCCATGGCTGAGAGCTGTCAGGGACAAGGCTGTGGTTTTGTTGAAATCCTCGGCCAAGTTGACATGGAACGATGGGGTGTAATTCGGTAGCCATGAGACTGCCCCGAGATGAAAATCGACAGACACACAAATGGCGGAATGTTAGCTTGTTGGCTGGGTACTATCATAATATATCCTGCGTCGTTGGGTACGGTACCCATGCCGCAGCGACAAGATTGAGCCCAAGTGTTGGACTGGCCCGTCTGAAAGCACCAATGCGGAGTTGGCGGCGATACTCGGTTGGCACAAAACAGGCAGGAGCGACCCGGCAACTGTCGATGCATGTTGCAGAACAACCCAGTCAGCAATCCGATGTCTCAACTCTCGACTCTTCTTAACCATTCATTCAATGCTTGACAACTCGCCCGTCTCAGCATTCGCGGTTGACAAAGCAACAGCCGTATTGCAGCCCCCTCTCGCCCAACCAGGGGCCGCTATCTGCTGAATAACTACTAGAACCCTGCGGGTTTGCAATTCGTCATCGAAGCCGTCGAGCTCATCAGCTCTCCGCAACCGCCGCAACCCCCACAAGGCCGGCATGCAGCATCGCCAGAGGCTGTGATTTCTTCCACTGCATCTACAGCTCACTGCGAAAAAATATCACTATTGGGGTCATTTGGTCAATGATGGGCAGGTTGTAAGTTCACAGTTGGCCCCCAATGTCGTGCCGCCATCTCACATGCCGCCGTCCCGCGTCCCGCTCCCTTCACTGGTGTTGTGGCGAACCAATCCCATGACCACCACCTAACAGTCCGCCACGCCGCACACCTCGACCACTTCCGTCTGCATTTGCTTGTATTCCATCTCATGGGCCCGCGCTGAAAGCATCATCTTGCAGATTTCCATCTGAGCCTGAAAAGATGGCCAACGAGTCGACGCCGCTGATCCAGACGGTCCGTGTTGCGCCGCCCCGGAGGAGATATCGCCATGACACTTGCCGGCGGTTCTGCACCATCGCCTGCACATGTGTCCTCGTACTCGGATTCGCCTCATTTCTTACCCACGTTTTTCTCATTTGGCCATACCACCATCACCATGGTCGCCACAGCCACTACTCGCACTCACACCAGCAAGGCAAGCGCCTCTCTCACCAAGAGGTCCAGAAGATCCTCTTAGAGACCCCAACCGCAGACCATGCTGAAGAATGGAGCCGCTATTACACCTCTGGCCCTCATCTGGCGGGCAAGAACTTCTCACAGGTAAGGCTTCTTGACTCAACCCTCATCCCTGCTATTCATTAGCTAACCCTCTGCTAGGCCGATTGGACTAGAGAGAAGTGGCAGAGCTGGGGGGTCGATGCCAGCATCGCTGAATACGATGTGTATATTAATTACCCCCTTGAGCACAGCCTCTCTCTTCTGAAGAAGTCTAAAAAGGACGATTCATGGACTGTGACATTCGATGCTTCTCTGACCGAGGCGGTCCTGGACGAGGACCCTACCACTGCACTTGATACCCGAGTTCCTACCTTTCACGGGTACTCTGCCAGCGGCAACGTTACTGGTCAGTTTGTCTACGTCAACTACGGAACGTACCAGGATTACCAAGACCTCGTTGATGCTGGCATTAATCTCAAAGGCAAGATTGCAATTGCCAGATATGGCGGCATCTTCCGAGGTCTCAAAGTGAAGCGTGCTCAAGAGTTGGGCATGGTTGGTACTATAATTTACAGTGACCCTGGTGACGATGGCGACAAGACTGAGGCCAATGGATACGAGCAATACCCCAAAGGTCCCGCTCGACATGAGAGTAGCGTTCAGCGCGGGAGTGTCCAGTTCTTGAGCATTCGTCCCGGTGACCCGTACGTTCCTTGCTTGCACCGAGCTCAGCCGCGATTGGCCGACTGCTAACAAATTTCACGTCAGAACTACCCCAGGCTACCCGTCTAAGCCCGGCGTTCCACGAGCGCCCGCCGATGATAGCACACCATCTATCCCCTCCATTCCCATCTCATATGTTGACGCTCTTCCTATTCTCAAGGCTTTGAATGGACATGGCCCAAAAGCCTCAGATTTGAGCGACCACTGGACGAGGAACCTGGGACTCGGATACAAGGGCATAGATTACAACGTTGGGCCTTCTCCCGAACATGTACTCCTTAACCTGCACAACGAACAGGAGTATGTCACCACTCCTCAGTGGGATGTTATTGGTGTCGTCAATGGAACAATCCCGAACGAGGTTATTGTTGTGGGCAACCATAGGGATGCGTGGATTGCTGGTGGTGCTGGGGACCCCAACAGCGGCTCAGCCGTGCTGAACGAAGTTGTACGCAGCGTTGGCAAGGCTGTTGAGGCGGGTTGGAAGCCTCTCCGAACCATTGTGTTTGGCAGCTGGGATGGCGAAGAATACGGTCTCATCGGCAGCACCGAATGGGTCGAGGAGTATCTCCCCTGGCTCTCCGATGCCAATGTTGCTTATATCAACGTCGATGTCGCCGCATCTGGCTCATCCTTTGAAGCTTCTGCTGCTCCTCTCTTAAACCAAGTCTTGAGGGATGCGACACACAAGGTTCCCTCGCCCAACCAAACCGTTCCTGGTCAGTCTGTCGGAGACGTCTGGGATGGTAGGATCAGTACCATGGGCAGCGGCAGTGACTTTACTGCATTCCAAGACTTTGCGGGAGTCCCTTCCATTGATATGGGCTTCAAAACCGGCTCCAACGGTCCCGTCTACCACTATCACAGCAACTACGACAGTTTCCACTGGATGCATGAATACGGCGACCCCGGCTTCAAGTATCATCTGGCCATGTCCAGAGTCCTCGGCGTCCTACTGTCCGAGCTGGCTGATACCATTGTGATTCCTTTTGGCGCCACCGAGTACGCTGATGCTCTAGGTGCATATCTCGACCAGGTAGAAGCCAAGCTCAACAGCAATGAGGACCCAGCCACGGACGAGGCCATGTTCGCAATGCGAGGATCTGCACTCTCCAAGGACGCCAAAGGCAGCGCTGATGCGTTTGAAGCCAGCCTCAGGAAGATACGTGCGTCGCTAAGCAAGCTGCGCACAAAAGCCGTCGGGCTAGACGAACGCGCTGCCTGGGCAAATAAGAAGTTGAGAGATGGTATTCCGTGGTGGAATATCATCGGCAAGATCAAGCTGTGGACCACCATTGCCAAGGTCAATGTACAGTACAAGTTCTTTGAGAGGCACTTCTTGTTTGAAGGCGGTCTCGACAAGCGCAGTTGGTTCAAGCATGTAGTGTTTGCCCCTGGCCTGTGGACCGGTTACTCTGGAGGTAAGTAGTTTCTTGTGTGCAGTTTGTTAGCTGATTCGACATGCTAATTTCATGATAGCCGTGTACCCCGGTCTGGTAGAGAGCATTGATGCCAAGGACTACATCAATGGTCTTAAGTGGGCGGGAATCATTGATCGGTGTGTTAACAAGGCCGCGGAGAGCATATAATGGCAGCTTGCGGGCGTGGGGCATGAACTTTAGAATACAATAGGAGTGGCGACCTTATATAGCGAATAGTTTTACAAATTATATTCATGTCTACCGTGTAAACTAATAGCAGCATATATGCGGACACCTCCACTCCATACATGCCTGACTAGCCAGCACGTCGGGTTGCTATAATTATCTCTAAATTAAATTATTATTTGAAATTAAAATTAGGAAGAGTTGCGTTGCAACCTGTTCTTTTTTGTCGTAACAAGCCAACATGCTTGGCATTTATTACAACCCCCCTTTCCCTTCAATTCCAACTATCTACCTGCACATGTATTGCCCCGTCGCGCCGGTCAACTCAGTAGGTAGGGTGGCAAGGAGCCGCAAGCTGGTGAGGAGGATGCGGAGGCGCGGGATAGACCCCCGGAGGAGGAGGCGCATGCGTCTGGACGAAGGTGTTGCCCGTATGCTGGAGCCCAATGCTACGCCTTCGGATAGAATGTCTGCCGCTGCGGATGGTACGCCGTCGCGTGCTGGTTCAAGGGGATACCTGCTGCGAAACAGCGTGGTAGTCTGTCTTTGTCCGCGGCTGCATCTGGAGCTGGTACGGCGCCGTCCCGGAGCCGGCAGCCGCCACACGACGGGCCCGCGCGCGGCAGCCGCTCCGACGGTGCCGGTAGCTGACGACGGCACCTGTCACCCACGCGATGAAGAACAACAGGCTACTAAAAAAAAAAAAGAGGAGGGGGGTGTCAGTAAGAACCACACGAGACCAAGGCTGTGTTGCCAACACGTACAACTCGATGGCGCCGAGACGGGCGATGCCCGCGACCACGCCGCCAAAGACCTTGTAGTTGTCGCAGAAGCCGTACGAGGACCGCAGGGAGCGGCGGACCGTGCCGGCGGCAAAGATGAGGCCGGCCCAGGCGGCGCTGAGCGAGAAGGTGGTCAGCCCGAAGAGAGGGCGGCCCAGTAGTTGTACGCTCAGGGCGAGCCAGATGCTGATGACGACGGTCACGAGGGCCTGGGGAGGTGAGCAGAGAAGGTTGCGTTAGCATTTCCATTCAAAAGAGCCTGACAAATTCCGGCACATCGCGAAGAGGCCCAGGCCGTTGGTGACGGCCGCGGTCCGGATTGCGAAGATGAGTGTATGCCGACGGGCCGAGAATGGCCACGACCAAGAAGAGCTGGATGAAGCGGATCGCGACGACCATCCCCAGGGATAACCGGGGATGTGCTCGTCGCCCAACTCGCTCCGCTTGGAACAACGACTCAACGAGGCAGTAGGCGCAATGCCATCGGGCACAGGAATGCTGCAAATCTACCGCCGGCAGAGGCTTGGATCCAAACAGAGGCCAAGTGCCTCCATCGTCCGGAATAGACAGCCTCTTAGTATGTAGTCGGGAGAGACGGCCAGCATAGCTTCGTCTCTTTGCCTAGCGGGCTGCAATCTCGACAGCATCATGCAAGGAACAAAATGTCTTCACGGGTCGAATAATATGCATAGATGCCACCAGCCAGGACGCTGCGCGACTGGATAAAAAGTCTATGTCTTGTTGCCTTGCATCTATAATTTATAATTTCCTATCGTACAGCGGGGGATGGGGCAGTTCCAGTCTCGAAGCATCCTCTTTTTAAAACTTGTAGACCTGCTCCTGGGAGTAGCCAAGATCCTTCAGAGAGCCAGAGAGCTCACCCTGGTCCTTGGGGCTGACCTTGGGGCCAGAGATGGCCTTCATCAAACCCGGGGGTCCGCAGACAAACACCTTGATGTTCTCCTCCTTGGGCTCGGGCAGCACCGTCTTGAGCAATTCCTTGGAGATGTACCCAGTGTTGCCTTGCCAGTCCTTGGGGGCCTTGTCCAGGACGTAGAAGGCACGGAATCGTTGGGGGTAGGTATTCTCGAGCTCGGCAAGCTCGCGGCGGAGAAGAATGTCCTCCTCGGTCACATTGCCGAAAACAAGAGTAACCTTGGTCTTGTCGTTGGAGTTGTTGAAGATGGCTCGGCAGAGCTGGTACATCGGGGTGATGCCAGTGCCGCCAGCAATGAGCGCAATGTGGTCATGCTTGTTCTCGGACCAGGAGTACTTGGGCAGAGGGCCCTTGAAGTCAAGGCGCTGACCAGGAACGAGGTCGTGGATGTGAGTGCTCATGGGGCCGTCGGGATATTTCTTGACCAACAGATCAATGTGGCCCTTCTCTCCTACATCAAAAAGTCAAGGGGGTTAGCATGTCATGATTGCCATGCCGGCAGAAGATGGGGCGTCTCTGTTATACCTTCGTCGCTGATGGGAGTATAAGGTCGGAGCGTGGCCTTCTCGTCGTTGGGGCCCTTGAATTTGGTCAAGATGGCACTGGCAATATGGAGGCCAGAAACCATGTCACTCTCAGGGAGTTCAAAACGAAGACGCTTGGTGTTGTGGTTGACAATATCAACATCGGCCAGCTTCAGAGAAAGGAATCCCTGATCGCCGCCGGTAAAAGCAGGCTTAGCAGGAACAGCCTCCTTCACCTTGGCCGCCACGGGGGTGCTTCCGCCCAAATAGTAGTATCCAGCTCCGGCGATAGCAGCAGCACCCGCAGCGTAGAAAAAGGCGTTGGATCCTCCCTTGGATGGTGTCTCAGTCGCATATCGGCGAGCTTGCTGAAAACCCGTTAGTAACCATGCTGTAACCAGCTTTGCCAGCTTTGGGTGTCCTAGTGGAAGTTCCGGAACCAGAAGCCAAACGCAATTTGCACACATACAGTCTTCAGTGGCTGGGCCACGCGGAAAGCAGATCGAGCAAACATATCCGATGACGGCGTGGTTGTGTCGGTTCAATTGAGGATACTTGGCCAAAACACACACAGTCTTCGGCTCAAAGGGAAAAAAGGTAATGGATGATGCAAGAGAGGGACGCCATGCTCTGATGCGGGTGCGGGTGCGGTTGCGGCTGCAAGCCTCAGTGATGACGCCAACCACGTGACTACCCCGGCATGAGCCCACCATTCTTAAGTACCGAGTATGCCCGTTGCTGACGCTGTTGATTGATAAGCAGCGTTTCTCCCAGTTCATACCCGTACGGGACAAAACAATTAAACCAGCTACCTAGCACGGGGCACGACACCATGGCCGAGTGTCCTCCGAGGTACCGAGTACTACCTAGGTACCTAAGTAAGTAAGCAACGGAAAGGAGGACTCACCAGATAAAATTATCCACGGATGTATGCTAGGCACCTAGGTACTTAGATGTGTGGCCAGAGCACGTTTGCAATGTCTTGAAAACCTCAACTACGACGAGTTGCAACATTCAGAGTCCCAGCAACATGAGCCCTCTCATCCATCACACGATACTTGAAGACGAATCACAAAGGATCTGAGAGACGCCAAGTGATTGCCTTCACCAAAATAGTGACAGGCAATATGCATATTATCCTGAATCATACAAGTCCGCCCGCCCTAGGCTCGCTTTAAAGATGATTTGAAGCCTCACTAATACCCGCTATCCACCTTTTTTATCCCGTCCCTTGCCAGTCTGTGGCTGCACTTGTCCCGTTTCTTTCTTCACTTCCCCGTCTCCTCTCTAGATTGAAGGGTCAGGCCTCAGTTGGTCATGAGATCCAATACCAGATTATTTACCGCCCAGAGACCCAAAAGTCCTACCTACTTACATGGCTGTTGTATATAAGCATAAGCCGCCGAAGCACGTGCCTCATAATATTAAACAAAAAATGTGCAAGCATAATCTCATCAGCAATGTAGTTGCAGTCTCCGGCATTATTTTGGTGCCTTTAAAACGTTCGAGTCCCCATGTAGATATATGAAAAACGTCACTTGAGAAACCAACTTCACCGAGCAGCTGCCTGACTAGAGGTAGCCGTTGGGTGTTCTTGTACTGGCGTAGTACCAGCTTCGCCATCGTTGGTTGAATCCTGGCTTCCCCTGCGAGCCATTCCGGGCTCGTTGTGTTGGGGGATGGTGGGCGTGCTTGTCTGGCTACCACCACGTTGTCCGTGATAATGGATGACCTGTGGAGGCGTCTGCCCGGCCTGAATTCCCAGCTGCCCTGTGGGGTAGGGGTTCAAATCCTTGCTCGACGTCGAGAAAACGGATACAACCGGTTGGTGATAGCCATTGGTAGACGTGATGGATGGTTGTCGTTCTTTGCCACTATGTTCCGCCTGTGTAGGCGTCTCGGCTTCGTTCAGGGATATGCAGGCATCCACAAGATGCCCAGTCAAGCTGTTCATACCGCCTTCAATGTCTCGGAGCAATCGCACGTATTCCTCGGGAACCAGTCCACTTTCCTGGGTCTTTGGGTCCTCGGCGACAAGCCAGCCTTGGCCATGTCGGTATGACACCCAAATGATCTGGCCCTCAACTAGTGGCAATTCGTTTTCATTCTCGCGCTCAAAATCGAACAAGGCCACGGCCTTACCGTGAAACTCCTCGTCGGGTGAAGTAATGGTGAACTGATAGTCACGCGAATAGCGAGATTCGTCAAGGTCATGGTATCCAGAGGATGATGGAGAACTAGAGTTCTCTGAGCCAGGCCGGCCGCAGTCGCGCTGATGACCTTGTTGAGGATAATGGTAACCATGGCCATGGCGTGCTTGGTCAGGAGGATAGGTTACATACTCGCCTCCCGGACCATTCGCCTCGCCTCCATGGGTCACATAGTAGCGCTCGCTTCCATCTCCGCTTGTTCCAACATAATACCCCCTCTCGCTGTCGTAGTTGGTTGTGCTCATAATGTCGCCTTCCCGGCCAGCCCTCCCCCTGCTCTGACCGAGCGTTGCTGAACTCGATTTATGCTTACGGTGACGGGTGGCAACAACTGGGCTCTGCAGATCGTCGTCTTCGCTATACGGCGGTCCGTCCCCGAATTGAATTGGGGGAATGTCATGGCCGCGGCTGAAACCATCCGAGGTCCATGAGTCCCACGGCATTCGAGGCTCCCACGAAGCCGGAGGATCAGACAGTCTTCGGGTCTCGCTCGCGGGGGTAGTCAGGCCAGAAGGTGGCCGCGAAGGCTCGGGCGGCGGACCATAGTGCATCGGATGGGCGGCTGGATAGGCGAAGTCTCTCACCAAGGTGTAAGATAGGCTAGAAGGAAACAGGGGAAACATATGAGAGCCTGGGCGCGACCTCGAGGGGACGGATCCCGACGAGTACTGTGACAAGCGGCTCTTGGAGGCATGCGACATTGGTCGGGGGAGATTGCTTCGGCGCGAGGGTGTCGGTGTTGATGTGGTCAATGGCGGCAAGGCGGGTTGGTTTGCATTCGCCGCAGGGGACGAGCCTTGAGGCTGCGAAACTGGGGAGGACGAGGCATCCGTCATGGTGGCGGTCGCAGTCATTCCTCGCAACGGCAGCAGGGGGAAGGGGGCCAGCTGACGATAGCCAAGGGAGTGACGAGTGACGAGTGACGAGGCTCAATGAATACAATGGCCGCCCGAGTATGGGCTTAGGAGTCCCCGGGAACGTCTGGTTGAAGTATCCGTGGTCGAGGATTGCAGAGCCGCGCGAGACCAGACCCCGCAGGCGGGGCCCAAGCGACGATGTTGCACGTCTTGTGAGGACGGAGCTGCAGCAATGGTTTCGGTGCGATGGTGAAGAGTATCGCGGAGGGAGTCGGTCAGGCGGTGGGCAGAAAAGAAGCCGTCGGCGTTTGGCAGGCAGAGACGTGGACAAGGAGTGAGAGGCCCAGGCAGGGCAGGAGGCTCGCCGGTGTGACTGCCTAGATGGAGGTGGGCAGATTAACCAGACTATTCGAGGGAAACAACAGAGGCGCGCCGGTATTGGTCGTTTGATGGGTGTGGCGTAGAGCAAGGCGATTCCAGTAAAGCAGCGCGCGGTCGGGAAGAAGGATCGTGGGTTGGGAGATTCGAGTGTTAGGGAACCGACATGGAGAGAGGGAGTTGAGGAGGACAGCGGATCAGGAAAGAGCGACTGAAGGCGCCGACGGACTCGAAGTTAATTAATGGCAACTGGTCCCAAGCTCATTTGAGGTCTGGCGCTGGCACTGGGTGGCCCCGGGGGTTCCCAAGATTCTACAGTTGAAATGTTAGTGGCCGAATTAGTGAAGGCTGGCCAACGGGCGCCCGTCATCAGGCGCCTGAGATGCCCCAGACGCAAGTGCCAGGCCTCCCCGGGCACGGACCAACCAGACCAGTACCAGACGCAGTGGCCAGTGCCCGGCGCCCGCCCAGGCACCGCCTCGACACTCGCACA